GGGGGGGACCCCCCCCCGCCGGTCCCGCGAGGGGAGAGCAGGGGCAAGGGCCTTTCTCCCTGCCACAGGCAGTAAGGAAAACAAAAACTGTCCTGGTGGAACCTGCCTTGTCCGAGTGTGTTTATCCCTGTCTTGGTTTTGGTGTGGCTCTTTACATTTTGGACTTACACAACTTCAGGGCTGTTGGCTTGCCTGGCCTCGGTGCCCCTTGTTAAAGCAGGCACGGCCGCACCGCGAGTGCCAGAGGTCAGCACGGTGGGAACGGAGCCCTCGGGCTGCTGAGAGTGAATTCAGCAGCTGTGAGGTTGGTGTGGGACTCTGGTGTGTGGGGACAAGGGCTGGAGGAGCCTTTTGGAGGAGGTTGTCCTCGCTGGTGCTGATGTGGAGCGCCGTGAGCGCTCTGACGCCCGGAGCGGCCGTGCCTGGGAGGAGCTTTTCTGGCCTGGCTGAGTTGTGGAGCTGGAGTGTGGCTACCAAAGTCATCCTTCACCCGTGCTCCCCCCTCGACACACACTTGACCTTTTCTAACAGCAATATGGGGTCCAGAAATACCGAGCTGCTGTCGTCCCGGCCGAGCAATCGTGGGTGGTTGCTTTTAAACCTGTTTCTACAAACGAGTTTGATAACTTTTTTATCACTGAAATGCAAAAAGAAAACCCTACTTTTATTTCCTTGTAACGGTTCCTAGAGCAATCACAACTCTGTCCCCTTGCATGGACTGAAGATTTTTTTGTATTCTGAGCAGCTCTGATGTTTTAGAGCAAGTCTAGCGAAGCTGGAGAGAAATGGCTGCGTGTGTATTGTAGGTGTTTGCACGTGCTTACGTGTTTCCTAACCGGAGAAGCATGGGACAGGTAGATAAGTGCAAATATCCTGACATCTTTTGAAGAAGTCTTTTAAAAAACAAATATGCAATATTTTAAGAGTTTTTCTCTGGTTCTGATGCCAAGTTGTTCGTGCCGGAGGGGAGAAAGGAACGACGAAGTCGCGCGGATCGGGTTTGGCGAAGGAGTTCTCTTGAGGGTGTGTAAGGAAGGGTGAAGTTCTGAGCCTGAAGGTGGTGAGAGGAACAAGGAGACATTGGGAAAAAAGTACACTTCCTCTTGCTTCAGCAAAGCAAGCCAGGCAAGTGATCAAAGCAGGAGCTTGGTGGGCAGGAGACTGCCCAAAGGGACAAGTAAAGCTTGTCCTGCAGTTTGACTGCATGGAAATGTCTCCCCACCTGCAAAATGGGACTTGGGGTCATTTTCCTGCCCCTTTAGAGGGAATAATTTGCAGAAGGGTGATGTATTCTGGCCTCACACCATGGATTTGTTTCAAAGCGAGGGGTCTCACTGTTCCTCCCATCTCTCTCTCAAAAGGAGATGTGGCCCTAGCGTGTTTTTGTGCTTGGTGCCGGGATCACGTGTCATGGGGCTGTGCTCCCAAGAGAGGAACCTTTGCAGGTGTTCTGAGCAGGGCACCTGCAAAGAACCAATTCACTGACCATTTCAAACAGGAAAGCTGATATCTCACCTCTGTTTTCCTTCTGTCCCTTCTTCCTCCTCCTCGCCTGCCAAGCGCGTCGGCACACAGCGAGTGATGGTTAAGCCCCGTCGGGTGTCCTGGCGAAGGTCAAACAGGATTGTACCCAAAACAGTGAGGTTGCCAGAGAGCAGTGGCAGAAGATGAAGTGAGAGGGTGGCCAAGGTAGGTGTCGTGGCAATCGAGGTGTGGGGAGGAGTGGAGATGTGCTGCTTTAGTCATAGCTTTTGAAGTTACCAAAAATGAATGAAAAAAAAAAAAGGAAGAGAGAAGTTAAAAACTTTGAAATCCTATCCTGTCCACACTAGAGAGCATCAAAAGTTACTTTTAGTTGCTTAAAAGATTTTTAAGTGTTTTAAAATAGAAATTTTAAAAGAATACTACCAAACTATAAAAACATAAAGTTATTTATATACATATATTATATATAAATAGAGTGGGAAAGTTTCCCTGCTAAGCTTGCTGTGAAGAGAAAAGGGTGAAGGTGCAGTAACTGCTACACAAGCAACATTTTTCCGAGACAGATGGCAACCACAGTGAAGAAGGGCTGACATAAACTGGTGAATGCCTTTATTCCCATGGCACAGCTGTGAGTTTCTGAGCAGGTTTTTGTTTTACTGTATCGATACTGTGAACGGAGGAGCATCCGAACACTGCGGGATGCCGACGGCGCATCCTGTTTGCTGATTCACTACTTCCATTGGCCTGGTGAAAACCATGCAATTGGTCCTTCATATCATGCTAGGCTGAAAACAAAGCTTGTGAAAGGTTTCTGGTTTGGTTTTTTTTCCCTCCTTTATGTTTGTTTTTGGTTTGTTTGTTTTTGGTTTGTTTTTTTTTGGTGCAGAGGTTGCCACTGTATAAATGATCATTTCTGATTGCATGCAAAAGAGCCAATATTCTTGCCCGGGCCTCGCTGAGGTGAAGTTTATAGCTTGTAGCTAGAGTCAGTATAAGGTATGGTAGTGGGAATCATTTGAATATTATTTCTGTACATTTAATGGATGTGTATGTGTATGTATGTGTGGGAATCATGGTGTCTCTGATGTTTTCTTGAACAGTGCTGAAAGCAGCTCAGGCCCATCCGCACTCCAACCCGTCGGGAAGGAATCGTTGCTAAACATTTCCTTCAGTGGTTGACTCCCACAGTGCAGATGAGGCCAAGGTTCGAGAAAAAAGGGGTTGGAGGTCGTGCACGGTATGGAAAAAACCCTCATGTGAATTTTCTGGCAGTGGTGTAGCTACTTAAAGGTGCTTTCCCTAGCAGAGTGAGAGCAGCTTGTGCTGCCTCCCCGTTGGGGTGGCTCTCTGCGGTGGCACCGAAGCTGTGGAGAATCAGATGCCAACTTTGCAAGTGCTTCTGTGATGGGTTGAGGCACAGCTTTGCATTCCCACGTCTAGCTGCAGCTTTCCCCCCTCTGCCAAAACTGTGATTTCAACTGTGATTTAAGGAGGATGTGAAGAGAACTCTGTCGTGTTTCAATACCTCTGTACGTAACATTTCTGTCTGCTTCGGAGTTAGGGCTTACTAACCCGTTTGTTTGCTTGCCTCGGGCCACAGGGAGAGCACACTGTGTTTCTGCAGTTTCTCAGAGTGGGGGGGACACACTTGTTAGTTCTTTGCTGCCAAAGGACTCACCTCCCAAACGTGAAGAGCTGTGGTTATCTCCTTAAGCCTGCAGCAAGCCCTGGTGCCAAGTCCCAGCCGAGTGACGTGCCGGTTGCCGTGGCTGTTCTGCTGCTGCCAGGTTCCCTGTGAATAGCTGTGAAAATAACAGGAACTGTGTTAATACTGTGCTGCTGCTTTGGGGAAAAGCTAAACCTCTTCCTCTGGGGAGGATGAGCGATGTGAAGCTGGGAAAGGGAGAAAGCAGAAGGCCTTTTCGCTCTCTTGCGGCGCGAAAGCAACAAAGTGACTTGCAGTATATGAAAGCAAATCGTGCTTTGTATTTCCAGCAGCTAGGGAGGGATGAATGGGAGGCTTTGTGGAATGTGAATTTGTAACAGGAGGCTGAGAACACACTTAGAGCCTCTTAGGAAGATCCAGCCTGGTGAGAGCCAGAGCAGCCAATGCAGATGGGCAATCCCTCACTTGTCCTCCCAGCACCATCAGGTTCAGTCCTTGGACCTACCTACATCTTCTCTACAACATCCTCAAGCTGTGATCTGTATAGTTTAGCTTTCAGAAGTTGGGGTGGCTGAAGGGCAGGAAGAGCAGAAAGCATTTTGTGGCTGTGTTGCTGTTTTAAACCCAGCGAGGTCGGGAGCGGCTGACCCTGTTCCCAGTCTGACAGCTCTTCAGAGCTGGAATAGCACTGGGAACAAGCTGTAGCCTTGCTGAAAGCATGGCAGGGAGGGCAGGGAGCCAGGATTTCAGCCCTCTGCCAGATCAAGGCTGAGATAAACAGACAGGACAGCTCTCCCTGCCCTTGATTTGTGACAGCTCCGTGACTGGTTTTCAGCCCGCGCCGTGC